TTTACGGAAAATTACATTATCTTTGTCCATAGAAATTTGGGATCATCAATGAACAGTGCATTACCCGTGTTGCCCCCGAGCTCATGCCATGCCTATCATGCGGTAATCGCTTTTTTACTGTGCATGTACAGTAAACAATCTTTTTACTATAGACATACAATAAAAGCGATTTTATTTAATATTTTTATTTTTTAAAAAAATTATTTTTAAAATATTTTTAATAATAAATTATTAAAAAGTTAACAATATAATATATTTTTTAATAATTTTTAATAATAATTTATTAAAATATATTTATTAAAAATTAACAATATAAAATATTGTTTTTAATATTTTTATTTCAGATTTTATTTTTTTGAATTTATGAAATTCTTAAATTTTTTAATTTATCTTTTTATTTTACATATTTTTAAATGACTTATAATTACACATTATATATGAATTAATAAATTCTGAGTTATATTATGTTGTTAAAATAGTTGCACATCTATTACACTTAATATTTTTATTGTTTTCAAAAACATATATTTTTAAAAATATTTTTAATCATAGATTATTAAAAAATTAATGAGATAAAAAATTATTTTAACATTTTTATTTTTTTGAATTTTATGAAATTATTATATTTTTAATTTATCTTTTTATTTTACAGTTTAAATTTTAAATTTTTTCACATGACTTATAACAATGCATTATACATGGGGTAATAAATTATGAGTTATAACATGTTAAATTTTTTAATTCTCATGAACAGTAAGTTACTAAATTTTTTTTTTGCATTATTATTTAGATTAATTTTTAAATTGAACGAGGTGAAAGATTATAGAATAAAATATGGTATTATTTATAATTTTAGCATGTATCAAAATAAAAAAATTATTAAATAAATAAGTTGTTTATTATGTTTTTAATTTGCGAGGGATGATAAATTTTGAATAGTAAGTTGCTGCTAATATTTTTTTTTTAATGTGCATGTAGTTGACAGATTAAAAAGAATGACAAGTGTTATCTAAAGTTTTTAGCATTGTTTTAATATATTGTTTATACTTTGATGAGTTTAGTGTTAACAAATTGAGAAATATGGTTGAAAGTTTTTAATTGATTTTTTTTATTTTTCTCTTTTATTTGCTCTCTATTAAAATGTTATAATTCTATTTGCCAATATTTTAAAATCAAACTAAAATCTATCCTTCCTTCCTCTACTTTTCTCAAACTAAGTAGAAAATCAATGTTCCCCATTCATTATATAGAGCTATGCACTTTTTACCGTATAATTATCATCATTTGGTTAAATCTCTCCCCTCTTTTTCTTTTTTCTTTTCATTTTTTTTCATAATATAAACTTTAATACAATAATAGTTTGGTGCATCTCAACAAGATGGTATCACATGGATGAAATTCTCATCAATAAGATCTAAATTTTATTTTCTTAAATATCTAATGTCTTTTTTTATAAATAAAATAAAAGCCCATTGAAATTTAAATTGTTCCATTTTATTTTCCCACCATTAAAATTTTTAACTAAGGCTTTTTTCATTTATTAAAAGAGATACATATTTCTTTGGTATGTTCTCTTGTACATTAAAATATACAAAGTTATTATATAATTGCATTTGCATGCTTTAAATAAATGATATAATCATCCTAAAATAATATATAAGTAACTAATATTAAATAAATATGACAGGAAATATGCAATAGACTAATGTTGAAGATTCTACTTAACAACTTAAAAAAAGTATTGTAGTAATACGCAATAGGTTAATGTTTTCAAAATTATAATATTTTACATCATGTATGATAAAATCTTTTCTGTGCATTGTTCAGGGATGAATTCTAGTTTTATATAACATCCAGCAACAAATCTAGGGACACACATACGAGGGGGACAAACTTAAAAATCACCTAAAATATGAGGAGACAACACCTTATTTTTTCACTTTTACAAACAAATTTAAATTTTATTTCAAAGAGCAGTAAAATTTTTGGATTGATAATATCATTAATTATTGAATTCTTTTAAGCTTATCTTTTTAGAATCTAGTACATAAGTTGGCCAAGATATATGGTATCTTTTTTATACTCCCTCCATTAAAGGTATTTTTTTAGGAGTTGGATGTTAAACATGTAAAGCATTTTTATTTTTAATCTTTTGAAACGTAATTATTATTTTTTTAAAGTACTCATATTAATAATGACTATATTTATTATAGAGTGTTTAATAAAAATAAATATAAAAAAATAAGATTAGTTTAAAAGTAGATAACTATTTTATTTAGAGTGAGATTCAGTTAAAAATATATTTTATTTTTAAATAGAGGGAGTATACATTATCAACATTCTACAAACAAACATTCATCTAATGGAGAATTTTTGAATTATTTTATAGATAGATCTATATAAATGAAAAAAGAAAAATCTTGAACCATCAGCAAGAACTTATTGAGCAAGAGAAAATGTAATCTAAATTAAATGCTAGTAGCCAAGTTTCGACGCTCTTTGGGAATTGCTATGGAAAATAAATATTTTGGCTAAAACGCATGGAAAATAAAATTTAAAGGTTAATTATATATTATTCTTATTTACAACATGTTAAGTAAATAAATAAATATATTAAATATTATAACAAAATAAATATAAAAAAGTCGTTCAGGATAAATCTGATATTTTAGTTTTCAGTTCTTTGTAAGTAGTATTTCAGGAAGATTAGATATTTTATTCATAAAAAAGAGATTAGGATAGTTTAATCTTTTATAAAATTGATAAATTATTTAATAGAAATACACACACTTGTTTCCTCCTTCTTTTTGACAACGAATAGTTAGATTAATAAAAGGGTTAAATTTTATTTTTCTCTTTATATTTTCCTTCAAGAAACACCAAGCATCATGTACTAATAAATAAAATATCTTTTTTCCTAAATCATTTTTCAAACAAACAAAAATCTCCTTCCATTAATGAGTCACTAATATATTATTGATGGAGGAGACTTTTTAGCCCTTTTGGAAAAAAAAATAGGAAAAAAAGTGTCTCATTTATTAGGATAGATTGCTTAGCATTCCTTAAAAAAAAAAAAAAAGAAACTTCAAAGTGCTCAATATTTTATAAAAAAAATTTAAAAATAAATTAGCACAAAAAACATGTCACATTAGTTAAAAAACAGTATACTTAATGAATTGTTAATAGAAGGAAATTTTTGCTCATATGCAAAATGGTTTAAAAAAAATGTTTTACTTATTATTATAGCGTACCTAATGCACATTAAAGAAAAGCATATGAAAGAAAATGCAATTTAATCCCAAATAAAATGAAGGAAACTCTCTAATAAACTCAATACATGATGAAAGTTAGGGCAGCTTCTTTATTTTCTTTTTCAATTTTTCCTTTATCTTTTTTTCTTTACTCATTTTTTTCACTTTAAAAGTGAAAAATAAACTTGGATTCAATGAATCTCAGGATAATAGTTGGCTGCATCTTTTTTTCCGCCAGCCACCGATGAGAGCTAGCCACATCATCCATTAATAGATGCCACCGTCCTCTATATGTATATGTGGATCATTTAAGGTATTTATTTATTACACATATTTCCTAGCATATTCTATGAGAAAAAAATGTTCAATAGAAAAAAATTCAATAAAATAATTTTATAATTGGTGATTCTTTAATAAAAATCCCTAAATTGAAAGGAATCAAACCTATACCATATGGGAAAAAAAATCCTAGTTGGAAAGACTAATTTGTGTTATGATTTATGAGTAACTAAAATATTTTTATTTTTTTACCATGCATTTTCGTTTTAACAATTGAAGGAGAAGGCTATATTAGTCGTATCCATATCAATATTTTTTTTATTTTTGTTGACCAGCTATAAATTATAAGACTTGTTATATAAAAATAATTATATTATATAAAATTGTCGCGAATCTAGCCGAAGGTACAAATACTACAAAATAACCCATTTATTTGTCAAAACTTGACAAATAATTCCTCTAAACTTTCAAGTTTATGTGCAAAATCCCTTGTTATCAGTTGTTCCATCGTATATTCCACTGGCCATTCGGCGAAAGCATAAATATGTTAGTAACAAAAAAATCTTAAACATTTTATTTACTGATAAGCCTCTCAAACTGAGTTACGTGTGGATCTTAATTAAAATCATATGCAAATAAACCCCTTATTATATTACATTATTTAGTAAAATAACTGATAATTGACAAATTGAAATTTATGGCAAAGGAGCTATTTCCCTAAATATATATATAAAAACATTTAGGGGTATCTTTTTAAAAGTCAAAAAGGTTATATCCACACAATTTAAGCTTTAAGAAGGGATAATTTATTATTTATCATGAGAAAATCTCTGCAATGTATGACCCATAATCTATATATGAAGCAATCCAATCCCTTCCTTTCTAATTATAGGTTAAAATTTTAAAACTCTATTCAATCATAAATATAGAATAAAGATGTAGTAGTAATTAATCTATTTTTTTAATATTGCCCCCAATTTATTGCACCAAATTGTTGGTAAAATTTTAATTTCTCGATACACTTTTGTCATTAATTCGATTGAAGGATAAAATTGAAAGTCACACAATTTTTTTGTCATATTTAAGGATATTAACTACCATATTTTAAGAACCCTGAAGTTAATTAATTTTTGTTTTATAATCAGGACCGGGGATAGTAGTTATAATAGCTGGATTCTAGATTACATGGCTATGAACATATCTTAAGAAAAATCATATCTATATCTATATATTTATAAAATTTATAATTTAAATGTTTCTAAGTGATGAATAGTAATACTTGTAATTACAAAAACATAATCTTCAAACTTCCTAGTTCCTACGTTATATAATATATATATATATATATATAGAGAGAGAGAGAGAGAGAGAGAGAGAGAGAGAGAGAGTTAAGGTGATTAAATAGCTGGATTTTGTTGAGCACAGAGCCGGAAAGATATCTTAAAAAAAAAAAAAAACATATAAAGGGAGTAGGCATAAGCCTCTGAAACTTCCAATCTTGTGCAGCACAACTTTTTGTTTCTTTGTTAAACCTCACATGATGATGCTTCTCTCCCTCCTTCTCTAGCTTCCTTATTTTCCTCTTCACCAGCGAAGCCATCTGTAAGGCCATTTCAGTTTTGTTATTTTCCAGACTTCTATTCACTGAGTCATGTTTGGGTTTGATTTGCTGTTTGTTTATTCCTATGTTTAATTTCACCGTGTCTTGACTTTTCGGGGGTCTAATCAGGTGGTAGATAGTCTCCGCCCAATTCGGCACGCAACAAGAATTGGCTCTAAAGTCTCTCAAGATTCATCATCCTCTTTTTAAATCAGCTGCAATTCCAGAGTTGGTAAGAATCGCCCTTTCTGGTTTAGCTTCTTCTTCTGATTCTTCTTCTTATTCAATTTTCTGGGATTTGTTTTCCAGAACATGAATTCTGGGTCTGGATCAGAAGCAAAAATGGAGTCAAACAAGGAAACACAACAGAAATCAGACAGTTTCGTGATAGAAATGGAAGCCTTTTCTCCAGCCAACATCAACAAAGACAGTAACTCAAACTCGAGAATCACGGTGAGTTCTTTCTGTTTGTTTTTTCCCAGAAGCCAAACAGGGTCTTTATGTTCTGCCATTGATTTTAAAAAATTGGTTTGTGGCAGATATTGAAACTGAAATCTGTTCTGTTACAGTGAGGCAAACCTCATCTATTCTATTATTAGCATTTATTACTGCGAACTTGAAGCTTCGGTATACCTTTAAAGTTTAATTTTTCAAAGCCACTCGCACGCAGAGATTACAGAGCATGATGATGGAATTAAAATCTTAAATAAGAGCCATGTGTTTATTAATAATGTGAAGATAAAATTAAATAAAAGTAAAATTGGAGATTAAGTAATGAAAATGAAATCAGGTGCAGAGGAGTGTATCAAGGAAAGGGTGGGGCGACAAGAAGGTTAATGTCGCAGCTGCTGCGATCCGTGATTGGGATGCGATACCTGCTGCATGCTCCCCCTCCTCCAAAGGTACCTTTATACAATTTCTTTTAAATTAAATAATTATATGTCTATACATACTCCTATATTGCAATATTTGAATTCCAAGCTAACATATTTTAAATTTTATCTATTTAAGAAAAGTGGTGTGCCATTGGTGAGCTTTTATCAATCCTCCGATTAGTAAGAGACAAGAGTGAGACATGAGAAAATAAGTGAGAGGTATAGAGGAACCAACATGACAAATGCTTAGAGTTGTTGCTGAAATTTCAAGTAACTAATATATGGAAAAAAAAATTAAAATTATAAAAAAATTATAATTTCAAATATAGGCTAATTTGTATCAGACTCTTTGTCAAAAAGAAAAACATATTGAGTCAAACTGAAATATAAATTGCTTTGTATGCTTGTTGCAAAGTTAATTAATTACATGGTTTATGTTTTATGAATAGCATATTTAATTTTTGAAACTTGATATTATATATATATAAATATATAAATTGCATAAACTTTTATAATATATAGTTGTACCCTTTTATATTGATAATGATATAAAGAGTGAATTGGAAGCAAGGAGGAGGAAGGAAACTCGTAACATGAGGTCAGGCAGGTGGTTGAAGGTTAGTTAGTTTGGAGTTGAAAAATTAAAAAAAAAAACATAAAAAAAAAAAAAGAACCAGACACTTCAAGTTCAAGTTTGAACCTACCTTTGAATGTGTCATGATACAAGTTATGGGGACAGTTTAGCTGTCTGTCATTGAAATAAAGATCATCCATGGAGATAGATACATGAATTAGTTTGGTAACAGTTTGGAGTATTTCTTTTTAATGAATTACTACATGTCATCATAATGTAAACGCATGTTGCGCATCGTAGGGTGTTGTGTGGCCGGCATGCCGGAAAGGTCGGGCCTTCGGTGGTGGGGTCCGGCGATTATTGTGACAGCCCACGGGTTCATCACCATATCACCGTCGTCACGACGGCCACCGGTAATGAAGCCAAAAGCATAGCTCGTAGAAATAGTTTCAAACGCCCTTCTCATTTGGGCCTTGATCCCAGGATGGTTCTTGCATTCTTTTCCATTTTGTAAGTTTCAACACTCCTCACACTTAACTAATTGCTACATATATTAATTAATTGAGTCGTTAATTAATGTTAATTCTCTGTTGTTCTGTGTGTGTGTTTAATTTCTGGAATTAATAGGTCGAGCATTGGGACAATTGTGCTGATATACTTGGCTCTCAGGACAAGCTATTATGAGTGAAATGTTGATTGGTTGATTGGAGTTGGAAGCCATGACTGATATATGGAGCTTTAACTAGCGCTGCTTCTGCGCACTTGTCATAGTCCAGACGCTTAGAGAGTGTGGATTATTAGCAATATTATTTTAATATTTTAACTTTGTAGATCCATTTAACTTTAACAAACTTAGGAAGAGCTAGTAAAGTACAAAATGTTAGTATCTACTAGATTACTTTGAGCAAATTTGGCCAAAATTTCTCTTTTTATATGATTGAGTAAAATTTATATACTTATAGTCTTATTAAATTTCAGGTCAGTGACACAGGACTAGAAAA